GTCCCGGTGACGGATACAGATATGGGCGAGGGTCCCGGTAACGGGTACAGGTATGGGCAGGGGTCCTGGTGACGGGTACAGATATGGGTGAGGGTCCCGGTGACGGGTACAGATATGGGTGAGGGTCCTGGTAACGGGTACAGGTATGGGTGAGGGTCTTGGTAACGGGTACAGGTATGGGCAGGGGCCCTGGTAACGGGTACAGGTATGGGTGAGGGTCCCGGTAATGGGTACAGGTGTGGATGGGAGTCCCCATAATGGGTATGGATACAGACAGCGGTCTTGGTAATGGGTACAGGTACAGGTACGGATCCTGGTACCAGGTACGTGTGTGAGTGGAGGTGACGGTAATCAGTGTGGGTGCATCAGGGGATCCCTGTTGCGGGTGTGGGTACAGGCTGGGCGGCTACCAGTAACAGGTACAGGTTGGGGGTCCTGGTAAGGAGTATGGAATGGGAGGCCCCTGTCATGGGTATGGCCCACGGGGTGTCCCATGTCATGGGTATGGTCCTCAGCAGAGGGCCCCCCACCAGTGCGGGCAGGGCTCTGTGGAGCACCCTGCTGTGACAGGCAGCACCCCAAACCCATGGGGTGCCCCGCCATGTGCCCACCCCACAGTTCCTCCTGGGGGAGAGTGATATAGGCCAGAACCGTGCCGAGGCATCCCGGCGGGCCCTGGCCGAGCTGAACCCCCGCGTGGCAGTGGTGGCCCATACTGGGGAGCTGTCGGAGGCCTTCCTTGCCTCCTTCCAGGTGAGCCCATGCCCCTGCGCCCCGGGGTCCCTTGGGACAGTGGCACCCACTGATGGCCCTGGTGCAGGTGGTGGTGCTGACTGAGTCACCACTGGAGGAGCAGCTCCACATCGGGGACTTCTGCCATGCCCGGGGCATCTGCTTCATCGTGGCTGACGCCAAGGGGCTGGCAGGGTAAGGGGTCTCTGCCGCAGGGTCCCCCCGTGGCTCTGGCTCGCCTTGTCCCCAGATCTGCCAGCTCTGCTCTGCAGCCCGTGTCCCTGTCCCGCTGGCAGAGCTGCTTGGCCCAGGCAGGACCTGGCAGCGCTTGGGCAGCTTGGCGAGGTGGCTTCTCCAGCAAAACCCCATCGGTCCTCTCCAGGCAACTGTTCTGTGACTTCGGGAAACACTTCGTCGTTGACGACCCGGCAGAAGGGGACCCGGTGTGCGCCGCCGTGCAGCACATCTCCCAGGTAGGAGGGCAGCCTCAGCAGGCTCCCCTGAAATGCCGCTGCCTCCTCCAGTGGCTTTATGCCACCCAGGTCCAGTCCCTCGCCCTCACGTCCCTTCCCTTCCTCAGGGCAACCCGGGCGTGGTGACGTGCATGGGGGAAGAGGACAGCCGCGGCCATCTCTTCGGTGACGATGACCTGGTGATGTTCTCTGGCGTGGAGGGGATGACGGAGCTGAATGGCCAGGAGCCTGTCCCCGTGCATGTGCTGGGTGAGCTGCCCAGGGGGTCCTGGCTGCCCTGGTCCAGGGTTGGGGACCTTGCTGGGTCCTCGGCGGTGGCCATGATGTCCGTCCCCCTCTCATCCCCAGATGCCTTCAGGCTGGAGATCGGCGACACCAGCTCCTTCTCACCCTACCGCCGTGGGGGCCTGGTCTCACAGGTTCGGCTTCCCAAGGTGCACTGCTACGTAAGTCCCCCCTCGGCCCTGTGGTGCTGCTGCCTGGGCTGGGGCACCGCCACGCCACACCATGCCATGCCCTGGCCCTGGGGACGTGCTCACCTGAGCCCTGGCACTGTGCCGGCAGAAGCCCCTGCGCCAGGCACTGGCAGAGCCCCAGATCCGGGTGGCAAGTCCTGAGGAGCTGCCGCGCAGCCGCAGCCTGCATGCCGCCTTCCAGGCCCTGCATGCTTTCCGTGGGGAGCAGGGCCGCCTGCCCCTGCCCAGGGCACCGGTGAGTCCCCGTCCTGCCCCTGCCTGGACCCCCGCCACCCTGCCCGGGGCTGCCCTCACCCCTCTGCCCACAGGCGGATGCCGAGCGCGTGCTGGAGCTGGCGCGGAGCCTGGGGGCGCAGCAGGGTCCCCTGGAAGAGGACGTCGTGCGAGCCTTCGCCAGCGTGAGCGCGGGGGACCTGTGCCCTGTGGCTGCCGTCATCGGGGCCCTGGCGGCCCAGGAGGCACTGAAGGTGAGCGGGCTGGGGGTCCTGAGCCCTGGGGTCCCGCTGGTCATGCTCCGCATGGCTGTCCGGCGGTGTTTGGTGACCACGAGAGGGCACTTGCTGCCTGCCTGGGGACACAAGGCTGGGCAGCAGGGCTGGGGTGGGGTACTGGGGGACCCGGCTGGCTCTGAGCTGACAGGGCCCCGTTCGCCCCAGGCCATCACCAGGAAGTTCCTGCCCCTGGACCAGTGGCTCTACTTCGATGCCCTGGAGTGCCTGTCGCTGGAGGGGGCCGGGCAGCTGACGGAGGAGGACTGTGCCCCGGTGAGAGCGCGTGCCGACCCCCTCCTGGGTGCCGGGGGTGCCGTGGCCACCTGTGCTCACACAGCTCCTCTGTCCTGGCAGAGGGGCTCTCGCTACGATGGCCAGATTGCTGTCTTTGGGGCCGCCTTCCAGGAGCAGCTGGGCCGCCAGAAGTACTTGGTGGTGAGCCGGGACAGGTGCTGCGGTGCCAGGAGAGGCTGCAGAGCAGCCAGCCAGTGCACAGGGAGCTGCAGCGGTTCTGTCCTGGCAGGTGGGAGCTGGCGCCATTGGCTGTGAGCTGCTGAAAAACTTTGCCATGATGGGGCTGGCAGCAGGGCCCGGTGGGGACCTCACCATCACCGACATGGACACAGTTGCTCTCTCCAACCTCCATCGGCAGCTGCTCTACCGCTCGTCAGATATATCGGTGAGGTGCCGCGAGGCAGGGGCTGAGCTCCCCCCGAAGGGCACCTTGGCTGTCCCGGGGGCTCCCCAGGGCCATGGGGCAGGGGAGAGCTGCCCACCTCCTCTCTGCCCTGGCAGAAGCCAAAGTCGGTGGTGGCCGCGGCAGCTGTGCAGCGCATGAACCCCAGCGTCAGGGTGAGAGCTCACCAGAATCAGGTGGGACCTGCCACCGAGTCACTCTACGGGGACGACTTCTTCCGGCGCCTGGACGGTGTCGTCAGCGCCCTGGACACACTGGAGGCCCGTGAGTGCTGGGGGGTGGGGAAAGGGGCTGAGCCCCTAGATGTGCCCCCCGGCTCCCCAGCACATCTGGCTCCCCACAGGTGCCTACTTGGAGAGCCGCTGCCTCCGCTACCTCACACCACTGCTGGACTCGGGCACGGAGGGGCCGCGGGGAAACGTGCTGGCCATGGTCCCCCTTGTGACCAAGCCACTGGGGCCAGCCGGCGGCCCCAGGGACGGCACCTTCCCCCTCTGCACCCTGCGGTACTTCCCTCGCACCATCCAGCACACACTGCAGGTAGGCTGTGCCGCACTGTCCCCGGCATCTACCGAGGAAGCCCTGGCACCTTTGTCTTCCTTTCCCATTTCCCCCTCCGGCCATGGCCCAGCAGTGGGCCACAGGCAGGATACGGCCCCAGCTGCTTCCTGCTGGCAGCCTGAGCTCTGCTGCCAGCCCCGGCTCCGGCACGGCCTTTCTCACCCCCTGGGCTTGGGCTGGGCATCCTAGGGAGCACAAGGCAGGGGTCCCAGTGCTCAACCCCTGCTCCCCCTCCGCAGTGGGCCCGTGATGAGTTTGAGGGGCTCTTCCAGCTGCCTGCGGAGCACGTCAACCGGTTCATGGAGTGAGTGGGCTTGGGGGAGTGGTGCTGGGAGAGCGGCTGCCAGTCCTGCCAGGGCACTGCCTGCCGCTGCTGGGGGTGGGGAGAGGGGGGCAGACTACCACGTCCTGCCCTGCCGCTGCTGGGGTTGGGAAGAGGGGGACAGACTACCACGTCCTGCCTGGGGTGTCCCACGGGATTGCTCTGGGGCCAGCAACAGTGGTGCCTGGTTTTGCAGAGACCCGGCTTTCCCAGAGCAGCTGCCAGCAGGGAAGGCCCTGGAAGTCCTGGAGCAAGTGCGGGGCAGCCTGTGGGAGTGGCCACGGGACTGGCGGGGGGGGGCCCCGCGGGGGGGGGGGGCCCCGGGACTGGGGGGCCTGCGTGCGCTGGGCCCGCCGGCACTGGCAGAGTCGCTACCATGATGCCATCACCCAACTGCTGCACACCTTCCCCCCAGAGCACGTGAGCCCAGCACCCATGGGGCCTCTGCCGGCTGCCCCACCGCAGCCAGGGGGATGGTGTCTCCAGGCCTGACTCTGCTCTCCCTGTGCCAGGAAACCAGCCCGGGTGTGCCCTTCTGGGCAGGAGACAGAAGCTGTCCCCATCCGCTGACGTTTGACCCCGACAATGTGAGTGCAGGGGAGAGCCACAGTCCCCCCACTGGGGACAGTGCGAGCAGGGGGAGAGCTGAGCCTATGTCAGGGGTACAGTGGATGCCAGACTGTAGTCATGCTCCATCTGCCACACTGTCTGAGGCTGCCAGGTCCTGGGCTGGGTCTGTCCCCGTCCCCCGGTCAGCCAGGGCACTGCTGGGGACAGCCCATGTGTGCTCTGCTGGAGGAGGAGGAGGAGGAGGAGAGGCACCTCCATCTCCACCTCAGGGCAAAGTGGGCAGCCCTTGGCTGTGTGGGCTTGTGGACCACCCCAGCTGCCCGGGCGCTCTGCCCCCACAGGACACCCACCTGGAGTACATCCTGGCTGCTGCCCACCTCTTTGCCCAAACACACAAGGTGCCACCATGCAGTGACCGGGCAGCTGCCCAGACCATCCTGCGCAGCGTGGTTCTGCCACCCTTCGTGCCCCAGGAGGGGCTCCAGATCCCCCTCGCAGAGGAGCAGGAGGAGGTGCAGACACCTGCAGGTGAGGCTCCCTGCACCCCTCAGTCCCTTGGGCCACATCCCCTGGTCCCTGGGTCCAGCCTGGTGGCGGTGGGGTTGCGGTGCTCGTTGTCCCTGCCCCAGCACCCAAGAGGACCTGGACTGACATGGGGGGCACCGTGCTGTGCCCCCCGCAGTGCTACAGTGCAGGGGTACCACCCCAGGGGTCCCTGTGCCCCTAGACCATAGGTGGCTGGCGGAGCTCACCCAGGACCTGGTGCAGCGGAAACAGGAGCTGGTAGGGGGTGAGGAGGCGCAAGTGCCCCTGATGGAGCCCATCCACTTCGAGAAGGTACCCGGGGCCAGGCAGGCGGCCCTCCTCAGCTTGGGGGGTTGGTGGCTGCTAGTCCCCACAGGACACTGATGTCCCCACAAGAGGCGTGCGGAGAACTACGGCATCCCCCCTGCAGACTGGCTGGCGGGGAGGGGGGCAGCCCACGGGGTCCGGGGTCACCATCCCATGTGGGGCAGCCAGTGACACGCCTCCTATCCTCAGAGCAAACGGATCGCCGGGCGGATCGTGCCCGCCATTATCACCACCACGGCAGCTGTGGCCGGACTGGCATGCCTGGAAGTCTACAAGCTGGTGTGGGGGTGCCGGGACCCCAGCTGTTACCGCAACAGCAACCTCTGGCTGTCTGACTGCCTGCTGCTCCGCTACCAGCCCCTGCCACCCCCCACCTACTGGGTAGGTCCCAGGGCAGGGCAGGGCAGGTGGGGGACACCCAGGGGTCTCGAGGTGCCCCAGCTCCCAGTGGCAGCTGCTGTGAGGCGATGCCAGGGGGACCCGGGAGCAAGGAGGTGGCCGTGCAGGAGGGGCAGCCCTGGTCTTGGGGCTCTGAAAATGGATCCGGGTGCCATGGTGGGCCAGGCGTGCTGCCAGGCAGCGAGGAACCAGCTCCTTCCTGCGGCCGCCCTCCTAGCACTGAGCCACCACCGCCGTCCCGCTCGCCCCAGCTTTGGGCCTAACCACGATGTTCTGGGGCACCCGTGGGGCTGAGACAGCCCTGCCACCCCACGGTGGGCCCCACGGCAAGCCCCGCAGCCAGAGGGAGGGGGGCTGCGGCAGCCCCATACATCCGGCTTATGGAAAACAGCTGCAGGCGCCGGGGGGG